ATGTGGCTTAGGCTTATCAAGATATGACACTTGTTTTGAGTCTACAAAAGGTAATTTGTAAAGTGTTATGTCTTTCTGTTGTATTCATATGGTGTATTATCTGCAAAATAAATAACAAAAAGAAAGAAGCCGCTAGCAGCATCCACAGAGCTGTGAAGAGAGCGCTCTTTTGCTCGGGCTCTCACACACAACCTTTATGTCTGCTGTGTCTTTAATATGGTGTGTAGATTATTATGCGTTATTGAAACATCAAGGGGGACGCAGCAAAATCACTTATAAATTAAAATTGTATTATTCTATGCAACAGCCTTACATTTAAAACGGAAACATAAGGGCGATTTTAAGCAAAAAGACCTCAGCCTATAAGTCTAGATGTTTTCTTTTCCTTTTTATTTATTTGTTTATTTGTTTGGCGCATGTGTGCGATAGGAAAACTATAGTGTAATTACGGCAAGCCATCTTTCCCAGACTCGGGGCAAATTCCTTTCACTCCGTCCCGAAGCCCCAGCTGGCCCTCCTGCCATCCACTGCGTAAAACATATGCTGGATAAGTTGACGGTTCATTCCGCTGTGGCGATCACAGACTAATAAAGGGACTAAACCGAAAAGAAAATGAATGAAGAATGAATGAATAAATTAATAATAATAAAATAAAAATAAGGTAATAATAAACACAAATGCCGCGTAAGCGGCCTTTTTTTTAGAGATGGTACATTTGAATTGCCTCTTCCCACTTCCCCCACCTCGAAATTGAAAGTTGCAAAGAGAACTCAATAGCAAAGATCATAGCCCATTAACACATCAACACATAGTCCATTTACACATCAACACAGTGCAAGTTTAGCGGAAGAATGTCAAATCAGAATCACGCAGATGAAGCACACCAGCTACTACTATGAAACTATTAAAATTGTTTTGTCATAAATTTGCTTATTTGCAGCAGCTTTTTTTCGTGCAACAGAAAAGCGGCGTTGGGAAGCCGTCAATGAATAAAAACAGGGTCAATAGTGAAAATCGGCTTTTCATTGTATCCCTATTACCTATATCAATGCATTGAAGGCCTTTTATGGTGTCATCTCGATAGAATAGCCTAAGTTATAAATAATTTAAAGAACAAAGTTATAAAAACTCACATTACATAAATAAACAATTAAAAATATGTTTAGGTTGTCTATTTAATTGCCCTCGTGATGATGGTGTGCTTTATCATTATGTGCGTTTTACTTATAACTAACCTGATTTAAATGATGGATCTGCGACAGAGAAACTAGGGGTTTTGGGGGACATGCATCACTATATCCTTTTTTTCCCCAAACTGTGCATAGTTCAGCTGCAAGTTACTGTACGTCTTTTTTTGGAAAAGCACCCCATGTCCGCTAGTGCCGCGCGCCTCTTTCTCTGGGCAAAAATGAGTTGATTTTTAAAATAATAAATATATAGATTAATTAAATTTTCAGCAAAAGAGACATTTATTTCATATTTCACTATGCATTTCATCTGATCTTTATAGCTTAATTAAACACATATTGTCAAAACCCACACATAGGCCTATTGTATGAAAATGAAAAGGGCATTTTTTGTTATTATTACACTACTATTTGTTATTTGTTGCCTAGGCTATTTTCACATTTGAGGTGCTTTATTGGCAAGACAAGTAACTGTACATTCGTTTTGCCAAAGCAGTGCGCGCGGGGAGGGCACAGCCGCTTCTCCACCGGCAGCCATGTTTTTTTTTTTGTGCGGGCCCGTCTTTACGGCTAGCTGATGTCCGCTGCCCGCTTCTAACATGTTAGAAAATACTGCAAATCAAGCTGTCGGTATCTCCCCGCGGCTGAAATTGTTCGTTATTCCGAAAAAAAGAAGAAGAAATATCAGCGCGCAGTAGTTGCTTTCTAGATTATTTAGGCCTATATTCAGCTGTTTTAATCTTGCAATTCTGATAATTAGAGATAATGTCTGTTCAACTTGTCTGTCATTTATTTCTCATTTGCTACTTATTTTATTAATTTGTTGATGTTATTATACTACATAGTCTTGTATATGCATATCTAAAATCCTTTGGCATTCAAATTTGCTTTGAACTTGAAAGAGAGAAAGAATCGGATTTTACCTGTCAGAGCACATTGCATATGCTTTTTTTGAAATAACATTTATTTAACAAATATTTTAGCACATCGAAAGTAATTAAATTACCTGTCTTTTGATTAAAACCTTTATGCAAAAAGATCAGAAAAAAAGGCAATATGCGACACATGACATGCATCGCTCTCATGCCACGTTTTGAGGATAAATTCGCTTTTAGGTGCTGCTTTGAATAAAATAAAACTATTAAAAAGCACATTAAAGAATACTCATAAAATAAAACCTTGATAGAGGAGTATCTTATGAAAAAACACCAATTGACGGGCTCTGCTTTCGGTTTTAAAAGAATCAAGCAGCTTTAAAAATATAATTTGCTGAAGAGAAATGACAGGGAAAAAAAGATTGAACATATCGGGACTGTCAAAAGAACATTCCTCTTTGATATATTCTTTCGACTCCGACACATCAGCAAAGATTATGAACGACGGAGTGTCCTCCACTGCTTCAGTGGCGTGTCCCGCTGGTTATAAACGAGGAGGCGGAGAGAATGCGCTGCTTAGTTTCGGCTCGATATATTTAAATAAAAACTAACAACGAGCTGCTTATAACGCTCAAAAAGTTAAACTCAAATGCACAACCCTTGTTGGTTGCACCTGCAGGATGCACAATGAACCTAACGCGCCATAATTTTAATTCTATATTCGTGAAGAATGAGCCAACCGCATATGCTTAGTCAGTCCTGTTGGTCGGGACTCTGCTTTATAACTTATTAGTTTATTACAATAATCACACTTAGCTTTGCCATTGTTCTTCACATATAGCCACTCAACACATCTTGCGGTCCATCTTTAATGTTTAGATTATTGAAGGTGCTATTGACGTTTTGAGAAAAAAATTAATAGTACTGAAACTAAATTATTAAAAATAAACTTGCGGGACAAGGCAAGCACATATCTTAGCCGTTTGTTCACACTCTGCCTGTATTAACATAAATGCTGTATTTTAATATAGCTTATTTTGATTAATTAGCTTTAACTGACAGCCTTTTCTTCTTTTTCCGCGGTTATGCGGCATTATATTTCACACGCATATGCAAGGTGACTGAATATGAAAATAAAATACAAAACATACTGAGCCATTAAGAAAAAAAACAAAACAAAACAACAGTTATACTTTAAAGCAGAACATTGACGTTTTGAAACAAAAAAACGGAACTGAAACTAAATTATTAAAAATAAACCTGCCAGACTTAATTTATGTAATATTTTCATTATTCATTTATTTTCATTATTCGTTTATTATTATGTACTATAATTGAAACATAAAATGAGATCGTAAATATAATCAACAACGAAAATGTAAATAAAAACGTAAATTAAAAATATAAATGAACATGTCTAGTCTTAGTTCTATCAAAATAGCAAACACTACATCTCTCTATATTTAGACTAAAAGACTGCTTTATTTATTTATTTATTTATTTATTTAAGACTAATTATTTGTACTGAATGTTTGTGCTTTCATTTTAGTTGTCTTTCATTTCTTCAATTCTATTTTCCAAAACGAATCCTCTTTGCACTTAATAAGTTTACAATAAACCAGGTAAAAAAAAAATTAAATGTAAGTTGAGGTGATCGCAAGTTCACAACTGTGAGGTGATGTGCTCTATCGGCAGGATAATCTATATTATTTTGCTGTTTTTCATATGCGCACGTTTAAGATTTGAGATTATAACATTGCCATGATAGTCAAAGAAATCAAAACATTATTTTCACCCCAACGCAATTTAATCGGGCACTGAAGGCTAATAACTTAATTCTTATATTAGCTTTTTGACTTCTCACCATGTATCTTTTCTACAGCATAGTATAGTGTAAGAGCATGTCTATTACCAGAAAAACTAAATTAAAATTATATTTTAATTGAACACATCACATCACATACAGTAAGCTACGCCTACAGAACAGTCTGTTTAGCATTGTGAAAAGGCAAAGCTGAATATCTGTGGTTAAAGTGCCACCCAGCGGTCAAATGCTGCTGGCGCATCAAGCACCGCCGTCGCCGCGGCATGAATGGCGGTACAAGGAACACATTGAAGTAGTAACATCTGTAGATCACCGGTTGAGCACACCCTGCTGGCCTAACTAACACCACTTCTGGCAGCATAAAGCTTTCCCATGTGGTTTCCTGTACTGACCGGGCACAGCGCGCACAGTGGGCGACCATGTGAGAATTGCAGAGAGCTAGCTGCCGTGATTGGTTAAGATGATTGGTTAGGAGACAAAGTGAGGCATGGTCCTGCTGCCGAACCTTTGTTAACAAGTTAACTCCATTATATAAATCACCAAGTACCGCAGATTTAGCTAAAATCTTCATTAATGTTCTACTAAAGAAAAACATCCATTAGGAAATCTGATACATGCAGAAATATGAAAAACAAGTTCATATTTGGATTATTATATTTGAAATATTGCAAAAATGGCAGCTTACAAATATTTTTTTCCAACCATTGGAATTACAAATACGTACATATATTTTTGTTAAAATTATATATTTATAAAGACATATATGAAGACATGTATACAATTATAACTAATTTATTTGAAAATATGTGTATATTTTGTAATTTCAATCATTGAAAACATATTTAAAGCTTTTTGCAATGTTTCAAAATATATGTTGCATATATGACGTATTATATATATGAAATGAAATCACGTACTTGTATATTGTATATCTAATTTGCATGTATTTCCATCCCTATATCACATTTTTATGTGGGCCTACATTTTTTAAGACATGAGGGTGAGTGAATCAACAGTTATTTAAAGTTTTTTATGCAAACTATCCACATGTATTAATATATACACAAACCAGATATGACAGTTTTCTAACAAAGAAGAATGAAAGAGTCTCACCTGCAGCCTACAGTAACACAGTACAGCGATAATGCACAGTAAGATTACTGTAGCTAGAATTCCACCTGTGATTACCACTGTCCCGGCTGTCATTCGAAAGGCTCTCCATCAACACCCTAAAAAAAAAGAGAAAGACCACAGGCGTTAGGTACAGTAGCTGCTCTTCATCCGTACAACCAGTGTGTGCACAGCTGAACTCCATTAGCTGCACCAGATTTTATGTACATATCAGTGTGATAAATGTTTCCCTGCACCTATGCCTTTAATTAATCCCTGTGCACAAATTCATCAGCGCACAGGGATGAATGAGAATGGGCAGAACATATGGGAGAAAAAGAGAGAGAAGAAACACCCTGTGAGCGACAATGAAGGTCGGAAAGACAGGAAACGATAGAGAGATAACCTTGGACCAAGATGACTGATAAAAAGGACAATAGCCAATACAGAAGGTCAATAAACAAAGATGTGGAATAATAGAGAAGAACTGTATCGTATTTAACCCAGAACCTCGGTCAAAAAGAAAATCTATCAAACAAATGATCTGGCAAAAACTACATCAGCATTACTCACATAAACAATATTCCAGACCAGCAGGGGGCCATGATGAGCTGAGTATTTATTGCAATTGTCGTGTGTTCTAAAATAATATGTAACACTTTACAGCAAGGCCTTATTAATTTAAATACTTCACCCCAAAAATGACCATCTGCTGTTGATTTGCTCACACGCAGGCCATGTAAGATGTAGGTGACTTAATTTTTTCTCTAGAAGCTTAATAAACACCTTTAGAAATGAAAACCTGTAGAACATGAAGAGGCACTGAGTTCTTATGAAGTGAAATCAGGCCCAGGTTGTTGTTGTTTTCGTTGCGTGTACTGAAGAGAGTTGGTGTCGCGCGTACTGTAAAGGGGGGGGCGCATACTCAAGAGCGGTGTTGTCGTGCGCCTTTCTGAAGGGCAGTATAGGGGGAGGGGTGTGTGTCGCGGGGGCACTTTGATCCAAGACTAAAAAGGGCATGTGCACTGCACAGGTTGAGCCCTATGTGTGCACGTGCCTGAGTGAAATGATTGGTTTGAGCATGAAACTAAACATTCTTTACATCATTATTACCTTTAATCAACAGGCAAATACGTCACCAGCAAGTTTGTCAGCTCACGTATGAGTTTGCGCCTCAACATATGCTCAGGACTCAGAACTGTTTGCTCAGAGTCTGTGGAAATGTTTCTGTTCTTGTCTAGAATGACTGTTTCACTTCATAAGACTTCAATGTATCATCAGCTTTGATTATTTTGTCTTGCCTGGATTTTTTTTTTTTTTTTTTACTTTGAAAGGGCTCATAGCCATTGACTTACATTTAATAAATCACCAAGAGCCACTGTTTCAGATAAAAATTGTCTTTTATATAATAAAGGTCATCTACATATTTGATGGCCTGAAGGAGATTAAATTGATACCATATTTTTATTTTTATTTGTGGATGGCCTTTTGCTTTAATGTATTTACTAACAAAGAGTTTTTGCAGATTATTTCAGGTTCTTCAAATAATAGACCAGTGCACTTATAATGTTTGATTGGATAAAAACCACAAAAAAAAAAAAAGTGCACAGTGATGTCATAAAGTTTTGGACTTGTTTTGGCAGAAGTTACGCTTTTAAATCTAATACCATTGTTCTAATATCATTGTTCAGTGACAAAAACTGGATGCATCTTGTCCCGTCTGGACCAAAAAGCTGCACTTGAACATACCAAGCGAACGACAGCCGACTGCATCAAAAACGTACAGTCTTATGGGTTTGATCACACCGAACACGCTTTTACATTCCAAAAACGCGAGGAGCACCTCACTGCCTTATTTGTTGACAAGAAAAAAAGAGGCTTTCATTTGATTGAAGAATGAAAAGGACGGGACTGACTTATCATGCTTTTTCTGCAAAGAGCCGACTTTTTTCAACTGCAAGCGGCAGAAACATGAGGCACAGTAGGCGTTAAGCCAAATGCTAGCCGCCGTTAGTAAACCATTCAGTAAACCAATTTTTGCGCCTCTCAACACAAAATGGTGTTGTATGGTGTAATCCGCCCCTTAGCAAAGAGCATAAAATTACCAAGAGACAACACTAAATAAAACGTTCAGTTGCAACAGCAGCGCTCAGCAACAGCCATTGCGCCATTCCGCCTATAGGCTGTCCAATGGATCTTATTGCTGTTGAGATGGCGGGCAGCTGCTTTGTTTTTTTATTTATTTATCTAAAAAGCGCATTAAAGCTAAAATACAACCTGAAAGACTACAATACAACACTTCCAATCACAAGATTGGTGATCATCAGCACTTTTAATAGTTTATTTTACAGATTTAATATTTAATATACTAACCATACTTATTTACTTAACTGTCACTTTTAGATGAAATTAATTTAATTTAAATTAATTAAATGAACATGACTTTCAAAATGGGATGTTGATAACAGACTGACAGTACACTTTTTGTTGCAGTATTGAATGTTATAATAGTATTTTTAACCTGTGTTGTCTGAAAGACTAATACAGCTTTTATGTAAACTCAGTTAATATATTATTATAAATATGTCTCCTGACCTGAATCTAATAGAACACATTTGGAATTCTGAAGTTAAGCATCTCTTTGAGCAACTCGTAAAGAGGGGTCACTGCTTTTAAGAATAGAAAAGATAGATGTTGCAAAATGAAGCCAACTTGTTCATTCCATGCCTAGAAGTCTTGCTGCTGTCATTAAAAATCATGGAGGCCATGCAAACTACTAGATAAAGTAGTTATTGATGTGGAGCAGACTCATTTACATCACCCTAACTTGAGTCAAACTTTAAAAATCTGTTATTAAAAATGTAAGTTATTTAGTTAACCTTACTTTCATGTTTTAAGTTAAACATATATTATTTTAAACTTTATCTTGTCAACATTTTGAAAATTGTTTTTGTTAAAATTGTAAGTTTTGTAATATTGTAACTTAATATTTTGATTCATTCTGTCTAACTTTAGTTACCCGTGCTGTTGTCCTCAAGGAATTTTCCTCAAGGAATGGTCCTGCATGACACTAATGGCATCTAGTGGCTGTTTACCAAATAGCAACAAAGTGTCGCCTCTTGGTGATTCTATGCTCTTTGCCCTTAGTCCAATGGAGTCTGGCTGCAGATTTGCACTCGCACCTCCAGGCTTGTACACTCGGACTTGTACACTCAGGCAACCGCGCCTCCTCTGCTAGTGGCGTCATTTACAATAGCCACCTATGTCCGCTTGCATGAAAGTCCTTCGGTATTTTATCTTAAGGGGGTCCCTGAGGGGGAAAAATCTCTGAGGTAATAGATTTCATCAAGATCGTTGCAACAAACTTCTCATCTGTTACCATTACTCAAGTGTCTTTTTTTTTAAGCGTTTTACTGTGGTTTCTGGCAACATACGGCGACGGGTGCCACAGTTGCTATAGTTACATAAACATATCGTAACGAATTATGAATGCTTGCCTTACAACAGCTCTGCGGTAATGTTACACATCATCTGTGCCGCTTTCTTTCCATTAAGCGAGCCGAGACGTTCCCTTATCCCGTCGATCTCAACATTATGTTTGGAGGACCTATAACAATGGGCTGGAATCATGTAGAGACTGCCGAAGCTGCGCTGCAACTGTGATTTCCTATGGATGCATTTCTGCGCAGACGTGCTAACTTATCAAAAATAGTTATAAAGAATAGTTTCCCAAGCCGTTCAAGATTCATTGCTGTAAGTCCATAATGTGCATCGGTTAGTTGTAATACTACAACTGCTTGAAATGTTTAAAATAAAAAACTAAAATTCAAATTTGCATGTTTTTTTTTTATTAATAACTGTGGAAGAATACCTTGTGTGTATATGTAGACTAATATTTAGTTAATAATAAGCTTTGCTGGTATGAATGTTAATAGTAGCCTGCTTTGGTAATTTTACATCAAAGCATATAATCATATGATGAATATACTAACTGCTTTTCCGGGGGTTGGGGGGGTGGGGTCTGTCATGTTGTACAACGTAAGTAGGCTACTTAGAATTAGTTGACAACATCGTCACTGGCATCGCAAACAAACTGGAAACTTACTTTTGGTTTATTTGTGCTGATTTCAAGTGATGTGACAGGTGCCGGTGTCGATTGTAAATGACGTCACTTGCATAGGAAGCGTGGGTGCCTGAGTGTGCAAGCCCGAGTGCAAGCCTGAAGATACAAGTTCAACTCTGCAGCCAGACCCTTCTCCCTTAGTCTGCAAGAGAGGATTTATCATGTATTTACCAGCAGGTGGCAATAGTCAGAAATGATGTGTGGATCCCACCAAACACACAACAGATGCTTACCGATGACCCAACGCTACACAACAACAGATTGCTGGCTGGGTGCTTTAAGACCAACATGTTCACAATAAAGGCCAAATATCTTACATTTTATTCAAAGTGGATTTTTAAAAATAATTTGAATCTACCTCTGTTTGTGGTCTCCAATGGTTTTTAATATGGGTAAGATTTGTAAATCGTCATATATATCAAATGTCCTAATGTCCAAATATGACTGGTTTTGACTTTTGCCCCTCATAGTCCTAATTTGATTTCAGGAAAGAGAATGAACAGCAGCTGAGGAACACAGATTCTCAATGAATGCTCAATACATGGCTAGAAAATGGTTAAGTTAGTTATGTGGTTGGTTGTGTACTCCCTGTACACACATGACTGTACAGCCAAACACAGCTCCAACGTCATCGTTAAATTTGCTGATGACATAATGGTTGTGGGCCTAATCACAGATAATGATGAGACGGCCTACAGGGAGGAGGTGCACACTCTGACGCGGGGGTGTCAGGAAAACCACCTCTCACTCAACATCAGCAAAACCAAGGAGCTGGTGGTGGATTTCAGAAAAGAGAAGAGAGAACACAACCCCATCACCATCAACGGGACACCAGTGGAGACAGTCAGCACTTTCAAGTTTCTTGGAGTACATATCACTGAGGATTTGACATGGACTGCTCACACAGATGCAGTCCTTAGGAAGGCACAACAACGCCTCTTCTTCTTCAGGCGTCTCAGGAGGTTTGGAATGAGCTCCCACATCCTCCGCTCGTTC